TATCCAAACGCACCGTTGATCTTGCTGTTCATCACCGAAGACAAATTCCTTGTGTATATTTTATACTTGGTCATTATTTGTATTTGTATTGTATTAATTCCAATTTCTATTTCTTCTCACACAGCATTTCCCATACTAATTCCACATATAAATAATAAATAATGGTGCTGTCTACAACCTGGGCACGCTTCTTTCTCAATTTTAAGTAATCAATTGCTCCATATTCCATTTTAACTATTGATTCCTAGTGATCGTACATATTCTTCAGTACGCAGATGAAGTAGCCTCATACACTCCCCTTATGAAGAGCTATCCAGAATTTACTGTGATCTAGCAATAATAAACATCTTCCTAGAATTCCCTTACCTTTTCCATTATCCATCAGTTGTTAGCAAGGTGATCTCAGATGTCACTGCCTCTTCTAAATCCAGCGTGTACATCTGGCAGTTCTTGTTCCATGTGTTACTGAAGTCCGGATTGCAACAACTTACTCTCCTAGTATCGCATGAGATAAGTGCAGCAACTGTTTGGTACGTTGACAATCCGGTACACCAAAAAAAAAATACTCTGAGTTTTTTTCAGGCCCCCCCCCCGCTTTCCATACCTTCTTACAAACTCAATATCACTTTAACGGCACCAATTTAAAATAGCTGTGTTGGTATTTCATCAATTTCTGTAGTTTTGTTGGTAGCAGTATTTTATTTTCCAAAATGTTTGGTTCTAGTTCAGCCATTTTTGTTCGTATCATTGTTTTTGCCATCTTTTGGGAACATTCTTCTGCACATTCACGCCATTTCTTCTTTCTATCTTCTTCCTCTAGTTAATCTTTGCCTTGTCTTTCATTGTACTCATCTCTGCATCAAAGTTTCCCTTGATTTATGTAATTATCTTAAGTAAATTGCTTGCCCCTTCCTTCTGAATGTGATCCTCAACTTCCTTGCATTTCCTATCTAAATAAACAACACACTCATTCTAAAACATGCTCCGGAGAGAGCTTGTGGATGAGTTCTGACAGTTCTTTATTCCACAAAACCTTTGATCTGCTTTAAGTTCTTGTTCATCATCAGTTGCATTCTGCCTCCCCACAAGAAAAAGATGAAGGTTTGGTTGTTTCCTCTTACACAGTCCCAAAAGTAATATTGGCATCAGTGGGGCAGAATGGCACAGACCTCATAACGGCATCATACAAATGGCCAGACATGCCCGTGCTGAAATGCTGAAAATGTTGAAAGTAAGGAAATATGTACTGAAAGCCAAAGAAATCAAGACAAGTGCTACAAAGGCAGAACCAGAAAGAACACAAGAATTGTCTTGCTGGATCAGGATCATGTTACCTGCATGGCGGGATACGTTGATTTGTTTGAAGATCACATTTTGGCACCAAGATGGTACAGGCAAAAAACATCAAGTATTTATAGCAGTTAGTCTGAACCAAGGCTGGGAAAAGAGAGGACTCCCAGCTAATGGAGGCTTCCTTCTGCGTCTGATGGCCAAAGTAGTTAGGGTAATGAGTATAATTGTAAGGCAGGTTCATGCATAATTCCAGGGTAATACGTTCACATTGACCTGGGCAGAATAAAACAGAAATCAATTTAAAAATACAGAAACAATTACTCTAGACGTATATGTTAGTTATAAAAATCATCGTTTACCCAAGAAATTGCCAGAAAAACAGACGGATGCATTATGGTATACCTTTTCCTAATCTCAATAAAGAATACAGGTAGTCCTCTCTTAACAACCATTCCTTCAGCAACCATTCAAAGTTATTGCGGCACTACATAAATAGCACTTACACCTGGTTCCCGAAGTTATGGCCACTGCAGCACCCCTGCAGACATGTGATCAAAATTTGGGTGCTTGACAATTTTCCCACACTTATCACTGCAGGGGCATTTCAACTTTCTTTACAATATTGAATGAATTCACTATTATTAAGGGTGTGAATTCATTCTTATCCAAACAGCTTGTCCCAATTACCAAAGTCACCATGCCACTTCAAAGACCACCTATTAAAATTAAAATGGCATCTGCCAACAATAGTAATTAGCATAAAAATGAACAAGTGACCATTTGCTACCTTGTAACCTGTTGCTGTATGGTGAAAATGCAGTAGTCAGGCTGTTGACCAGTGCAATGTACAGGGATCATATGATGCCTATGCTGAATGATCTGGCCTGGCTACCAATTTATGGCAATAATGTTGACCTTTAAAACCTAAGCAATTTAGGATCTGATTATCCGTGGGATTATCTATCTTGTATGAATCTGTTCAGTTTCTTAGACGAGCTGGAAAGGTCCTTCTGAAGACGCCCCTCCTGTCAGAAGCTCAAGTGTCAAATATGAGGCTCCCAGATTATGGAATGCACTCCTAAGGATATGCTTTTTGGCTCTTCCAACATGGAGAAAGAGGGTCAAAACACATCTCTTTTGCCAAGCTCTTAATTGCAATTTATTTTAATCACTGGTTTTAATTTTTATTTAATTGTATGAATTTTGTTTTGCTTTATACTTTCTATTTTATTGTTGCAAGCTCCCTTAGACTGTTTGTATAAATGGAAAGACAGGGTACAAATTCAATACTAAATAAATAAATTTATCCCTATAGTATAGGTAGATCTCACTTACCGACTGCCCTGTTTAGTGACCATTCAAAGTTACAATAATGCTGAAAAAGTAACTTTATGGCCAGTCCTGACATTTACAACCTTCGCAGCACCCTGCAGTCACATGATTGTCATTTGCGTTCTTCATAGCCAGCTTCCATCAAGCAAAGTCAATGTAAAGCCAGCGTAAAATCACATGTCGCAGTCATGTGATGTCTCACTTAGCAACCAAATGGGAAGTGATATCATAAGTCTGTCAAGGTCACATGATGTTTCGCTTAATAACTGTGTCGCTTAAGGACAGAGTTGCCGGTCCCAACTGTGGTCATTAAGTGAGGGCTACTTGTAATTTCATCCAAAATCTGATTAATCCTTCTGAGGCAGTCATTTCACTGTTCTCCTAAGGACAGGTGTTTGCCTCTGCCTTTTACAGGTTCTGATCTCCTGTTGAAAACCTATTCTGAGTTGCAGTAACCATCTGGCTGCTTCATCAGTCTGTTGATATTTTTTGTCTGTTGCTTGTTTGTTGTTTAGGTAAACTTTTAAATATAGGGCCTACTGCTTCTCTACCTAATTTTATTTATGTGCCATTAAGAATTTAATTTTCAATTTAAAGAATTATTCCGCCATTTCAGACATATGTTCTCAGTTTGTCTTTGAAATGTCCTTCTAAGGAACCAAACAATATGAAAACTGTTTGTTAAAATCATACCATAATATGAAGCAACCCTAAACTACGTTGTCAGCCAACAGAAGATTTATATAAATTTGGCAACATTAATGACACATATGCAAACAATCCTCATTTCAGAAGCAAACTTCTAAGATCAGTCTTGAACATATGTCACAAGTAGGTCAACATCACCGAAGACATGGATAGGAAATAATGAAATTATTTTTGTCTGGAAGCAACTATGATGATAATTCTTCCCTCCCTTGTCATTTCTAGAACATTCAAAAGTATTTCATGACATGGTATAGCACAATAATATAACAGGATAGTGCATGGCTACATATTTTATAGTAATTTTATTAAATATTACAAATACAACAATAAAAACTAATACAAACTAAAAAAATAAAAGAATAAAAAATAGAAGGTGCAGAAAAGAAAAAAGAGCAAGAAAAATAGAAAAGAAAGAAAAAATGAGAATATAGTAAAGAAAAAGAAATGAAATATATAAAGAAGTGGCTTCTCCCTTCATCACTAGTATAAAAAATTTTATTAACTTATCACCTTCTTTTAAAATACAACAAATGATCTCTTCTTCCCATATCCCATCTCTTATCTATAAGCAAATCCATAAAGCCTCATTTCAATCCTGACGTCAGAGAAAGTCCATTAAGGGTTACCAGAGATAACAACATACCTATTTTAACCTTGATCAAATAAACCAACTTTAAATTCCTTCCTTTTACGTCTAACAACCTTGATCTTTAGTCCCTTCAAATACAGTGGTGCTTCTACTTACGAACGCCCCTACTTACGAATTTTTCGAGATACGACCAGCTCTGGG